TAATTACCTGTTTTTTCCTACAATATATAACAGGAATAATGCTAATATTGTTACCCTGAAACCAAAACCAGGATTCCAAAAAACAGCTGAAGATTTTAAGAAAGTTGTTTTTAGCCGGGCATGGTGGCAGGTGCCTGTGATCCCAACTACTTGGGAGGCTGAGGCAAGAGAACCACTTGAAACCTGAAGGCGGAGGGTGCAGTGAGCCGAGATCGCACCACTGCACTCCAGCCTGGGTGACAGAGCAAGGGGAGGGAGGGGAGGGAGGGGAGGGAAGGAAGGGAAGGAAGGGAAGGAAGGGAAGGAACGAAAGAAATTTGGCTGGGTGCAGTGGCTCACACCGTTAATCCCAGCACTTTGGGAGGCCGAGGTGGGCAGATCACGAGGTGAGGAGACTGAGACCATCCTGGCTAACATGGTGAAACCTCATCTCTACTAAAAATACAAAAAATTAGCCAGGCGTGGTGGCGGATGCCTGTAGTCCCAGCTACTCAGGAGGCTAAGGCAGGAGAATGGTGTGAACCCAGGAGGCAGAGCTTGCGGTGAGCCGAGACCGCGCCACTGCACTCCAGCCTGGGTGACAGAGCAAGACTCTGTCTCAAAAAAAGAAAGAAAGAAAGAAATTTGTTTGCCCCTATTGGATATCTCGCTAAAACATTTACAATCAAACTACTATGTTTTAAAGTTATCAGAAATAAGTCCTGAGAGGTTAAGTCACCAATGTGTGTCACAACTGACATGCACCTAGATTCATTCATTTTTGTCTTTGGTTCTTAAGGGATTGCTTCCCCCTCCACTGCCACCACTTGGCTTTTGTTTTGTAATTACATAAAGCCCGTACATGATGCTACAAAGAAAGGACACGTGAAGAAGTCTCCCAGTGCTCCAGTGCCCTCTCCATCCCTTCTCCTGAAGGTGACCATGCGGTTCCTTTATGGTTTGTAAAAATAAAAGATGAGCAAATCCCCCCACCTTTCCTTAGGTAAGTGACAAGCACACTCCATCTCTTCTTCCTTTACATTGTTCTTTTTTCTGCTTGTCATTTCAACTAGAAATCCTGTCACCACCACAAATGAAGACATCACCTACTCCTCCCTTCACTCAGGGGCTCAGGCACTACCCTGTAGGCAGAGCCAACACCACGAGTTGCCCAGTCCAGCCACTGACACATCTAAGTCATTCCCAGCTTTGTTTCTGGAGTGTTGTAATGAACGCAATCCTTGTCACAATCCTTCCTTATGTCTAACCATGTTTGGGACACATTTCCAGAAGTCGATATGCTGGAGCAAAGAGTAAACACATGTCTTTGTTTTTTTTTTTTTTTTGAGATAGGGTCTCACTTTGTCACCTATGCTGGAGTGCAGTGGCATGATCTTGGCTCACCACAACCTCCGCCTCCCGGGCTCAAGCGATTCTCCTGCCTCAGCCTCCCGGGTAACTCGGATTACAAGCGTGCACCACCACACCCAGCTAATTTTGTACTTTTAGTAAAGATGGTGTGTTTCACCATGTTGGCCAGGCTGGTCTCGAACTCCTAACCTCAAATGATCCACCTGCCTCAGCCTCCCAAAGTGCTGGGATTACAGGTGTGAGCCACTGCGCCTGGCCACTTGTCCTTTTGCTAGATGTTGCAAATACCCGAGAGGAGGTGTGAATTCCAGAAGCAACTACCATGGCACTACCTGACTCACACCACTAGAACAGTGTCTACTCCAGGTGCTTGCCAACCGAAAGGTCAGAAATGTCTTGATAGTGCTCCAACGTGCAGGATTCTTACATCAGAAAGATTGCGCATCATTCACATCTTGGTCAAGGCCCACATGCATTACCTGTCCTGTGATGCAATCTGATTTTCCATAGTCACACCCATTTTTGATCCTTAACACCCAGCACTAGGCAGTGTGTGCCTGCTTAACAAAGAGGACCTGACAGGCCAAATTCAAGGGCAGACACCAAGTCCATGAGCAGGCAAGACTGCCCCTGTGCCCGCAAGAATAAATGTACACACAAGTGGGTGTTATGTGTAGACTGCGTGCCATAGGCACGGGAAGGAGCTGCTGGGCACACCGAGGGCCAGCCCTCCTCCAGCCCTGCTCCCTCCATCACGCCCATGTGGTCCTGGGTGACAGGAATGGGAACACTCCAGCCGATCACAGTCCATAATTTCCACTGAAAGCAAGTGTGGGCTGGTGCTGAGTGAGACACACCCAAGAGTAGGTGAAACTTGCAATTTGTGGAGAAAACCTAAAATCAATCAATATGCTGGGCTGTCTTACACATCCACAACAAAGCGTGCATACAAGCTGACACATTTATAAATCCTGAAGAAATAATTACTCAAGGGTGGCTTCTGCCTGTTTGACCACTAAGCATTGTGTGCCACGACTGTTTATAGACTGTGCTTTTCTACCTTCTGTCAAGTCCCTTCAAGCACAGGTCAAAGGAAAACCTGGGGCGACCTCTGGAAATTCCCTTGTGAACTCCCAAACTGACTGCCTGAATGCTATGGCTAGGTCTTCCCTGCTGGCTGGCAACAGAGAAGAGGGAGGTCTCCTCCATTCATTTATTCACTAAACAAGTACCTATTGCTCAGACCATGTGATTCTGAGTTAAGAAAGGGCCAGGCAGAGGGGTGGGTACCCCGCCTGGGGTCTGGGAGAAACCAAAGCCAGCCCTGCTGCCCTCAGACAATGCCCTGGGCTGCAGGACAAGAGGCAGTCGCTTGCTTCCCTGGGCTAGCTGTGGGTGCTTACCCCTCAACAAAGGAGATGAGCTCAAGCTGGGCACAGTGGCCCGCACCCGGTAGTCCCAGCTACTTGGGAGGCTGAGGTGGGAAGATCGCTTGAGCCCAGGATGTTGAGGCTTCAGTGAGCCATGATAACACCACTGCACTCAAGTCTGGGTGACAGAGCAAGACCCTTTCTCCAAAAAGGAGGTGAGCAAACATGATGACAGCTATGTGGCTTTGCGACTCTGAGTCCCTAATCCTCCTCTCTGTCTCTGTTAATGCCTGACATCTACCAAATAGTAGTTACAGCATAACAGCACCAAGTATTAGGCTCTGACAAGTCTCAACTCTCTGTAGGAAATTGGCACAGACTCAGAGTCCGAACTTGTCTCCAAAGAGCTGAGAGCCCTGTGTAAGTGTGAGGGAACATAAAATAGTGCAGACACCATGGATAACAGTCTGCTAATTCCTGAAAAACAGAAAGTTACTATATGATCCAGTAACTGCACCCCTAGGTATATACTAAGAAGAACGCAACACAGGTATTCAAACAAAAGCTTGTACACGAATGTTAAAAGCAGCACTATTCACAATAACTAAAAAAGTAGAAACAACTCAAATGTCCATCAATCAATGAATGGATAAACAAAATGTGGTGCATCCATATAATGGAGTATCATTCAGCCATAAAAAAGAAGGAAGCACTGATTCATGCTTACGATGTGGATGAACCTCAAAAACACGTTGACTAACAGAAGGCAGACCCAAAAGGCCACTTACACAAGTGTAAGAGTCCACTTACAATAAATGTCCACAACAGGCAAATCAACAAAGACAGAAAGTGGATGAGAGGTCATCAGGAGAAAGGGGAGGGGGGAGATGAGGAGTGACCGCAAATGACCATGCTCTTTCCTTTTGAGGTAAAGAAAATGTTCTGGAATTAAATAAATGTGGTAGTTGTAGAACTCTTGAATATATATATATAAAAAAAAACTGAATTGCACACTTTAAATGAGTGAATCGTATGGTATGCAAATTACACCCCCAAAAAATTTTTGGGATATAATTTGCCTGTATGCCCAATACTTTGGGAAGCCAAAGCGGGAGACTCACTTGAGGCCAGGAGTTCAAGACCAGCTTGGTCAACACAGCAAACTCCGTCTCTACAAAAAATACAAAAATTAGCTGGTTGTGGTTGCACACGCCTGTATTCCCAGCTATTCAGGAGCCTGAGGCGGGCACGATAGCTTGAGCCCAGGAGTTCGAGGCTGCAGTGAGCTATGATTATGCCATTACACTCCAGCCTGGGTGACAGAGTGAGACCCTGTCTCAAAACATAAAAAATAAAAATGTAAGCACCAGGAAAGTTTCGTTTTGTTTGGAGGACGTTCTGGAAATGTTTTCCTGACAATCGAATCACCTGCCCATGCCCAGATTTTCTTGCCATATGAAGATAAGAGCTGAAACCTCATAAAACTGATTGCAACACTTGTTCTGTGCCATGGTCAGCACAGCGGCCACATCTCACACTGCGTGGCCAGCAAGATCCTGTTCGATGGGGCATGAACCTCTAGGCAAGTCACCTGTCAACTCTGGCCCATGTGTGTCCCTGTCTATCAAATGGAGCAGCTGACCCAGGGACTGCCTCCAAGTTCTAAGACATCTTTCAGTTTTGTGTTCTTCTCCAGGTAGGTAGCCCTGGGCCAAAACATCACTGACCAGGCTTGATGGTAACAGAGAAAATCCAAGGTACCCAGCAATGCCCTGGTAAGTCTGGACAGCTCTTGACAGTCTCCGTGTAAGAGCTCCACGCAGCAGGAAAAGCTCAGCTTTGCCATGAGGCATGAGGCAAGGTAAGGGCAACCAGCTCCAAGAACCAGTACAGGGCCCTGGGCTTCACAGTGATTGAGGAAAAAATCTAATGGCATCTATCAGTGTTGGGAAATCATGGGAATGGCCAGAGGGCAAAGGCCACTAGCCAGGATTATCCTCTGCCCCTGCCCCTCAGAGAGGACAGGCTCATCTTATTTAGACCTAGGGTTTTCAAATGAATGACCAATTAGAATGGTTTCTTTTTCCCTGAGACCTGAAGGGAAGGACCAGACAGCCCCATGCAGATGGTGCAGTGTGCGATCCCAGAGGGCCTGCCTCCCTCCATCTTCTCTAGCAGGTGGATGAAGCAGCACTCAGTTTAAAGTGTCCAAGAAGCTGACCGAAGCCTGCTGGATGCGTGGAACCTTCACTCCACAGACACTACACCCCAAGCACTCACCTGGCTTCGGGGTATGGGGTGCTGGTCCTACCAGTTGGCCATGGCCACAGCAACGTCAAAAGGCTACTTGAGCTGACCAACCTAAAGCGAAGGACAGAGAAAGAAACACTGTGTTTCCAAGGAAGGTTTCTGGAACATACGGGCATTTCTAAAATGTCTCTAATCCCTGGAACTACATAGCAAAATTTCAGATTTCCAGAGTTTTGCCTCAGCAACCTTCCACAACGGGGACAGTCGGAGGAAACAAATTTCTACTGATCTCTGAGGTATGAAACAATACAGCGCTAACCAATAAACACCAACATCCCAGACACTGTCTTCACCAATACAGATGGTGACATAAAAAGCAACCACATGATGAAATACAATTATTTTTGTCTTTCATCTACTGAATACAGACAAATGGCTCAAGTTTCCCGCCCCTGCCCCACCCAGACGGAGTTTCACTCTTATGCCCACGCTGGAATGAAGTGGCACAATTTCGGCTCACTGCAACCTCTGCCCCCTGCGTTCACACGATTCTCCTGCCTCAGCCTCTAGAGTAGCTGGGTATACAGGTGCCCACCACTATGCCCCGCTAATTTTTGTATTTTTAGTAGAGATGGGGTTTCGCCATGTTGGCCAGGCTGGTCTCAAACCCCTGACTTCAGGCGATGCACCCACCTCGGCCTCCCAAAGTGCCAGGATTACAGGCATGAACCACCGTGCCCAGCCCAGGGTTTTATTATAATAGTAATGACATTAAAAACAGAAATAGGTCAGGTACGATGGCTCACGCCTGTAGTCCCAACACTTTGAGAGGCCAAGGCAGGATTGCTTGAGCCTAGCAGTTTGAGATCAGCCCGGGCAACATAGTGAAACTCTGTCTCTACAAAAAAATACAAAACTTAGCCAGGTGTGGTGGTGTGTGCCTGTGGTCCCAGCTACTTGGGAGGCTGAGGTGGGAGAATCACCTAAGCCCAGCAGGTTGAGGTTGCAGTGAGCCACGATCCCACCACTGCACTCCAACCTGGGCGACAAAGTGAGACCCTCTCTCAAAAAACCACCCAGAAACAGTAACATCTAGCATTTAATAGATACTTATTTCCAGGTACTGTGCTCACATAGCATCTCTGAATCTCCAAGGCAACCATAGAGGCAGGTTCCTGGATCATGCCCATTTTACAGATAAGGGATCTGATGTGTTTGATCTTCAGGAACTTGCCCAGGGTCACAGAGCACACAGGCAGCACCCAGGGTTCACCCAGGTCTCATTCTCCAAATGTAACCTCCCCACCATCATGTTCTCTGTCATGGACCCCAGGGAAACCAGCCACCATTCCTGGTGGAGGCACTACTAGGTTTATCCTCAAGATGAGGGCATGATGTGCCTGGGAATGGGCAGACTTCACCCTCCAGACTGAGAGGGCTTCACCTCCAAAACCAAAGGTCATGGTCATCCCCATGGGATGCTGTCCAGAGAGGAAGAGGCTGCCTATCTTACAGACAGGAAAACTAAGGCTCAACAATGTTCAGGAACTTCTCTTCCAAGGTCACAGAGAGAATACCTCGGACTTCCACTTCCGTTTTGTGACGTCAGACGTCCAGGGCTGCGGGCCAGAGGCTGAACCTTAGGAACCAGCCAAATCCCAGACTCCCAAGCAGTTCTGTCAGTTGTAGCTTGCCAAATAGTGTCAACATCACTTCTGTTGTCATTCTTTGCACCCACATGACTACCAGGAGCTTGCTCTGATATGAAACCTTTATTTTTAAACTGGGTTCACAGCAATTCACAGCTGATGGATGGTGAGAAACACCCCCACAGGAGAACTTGCAAAAATAACAGGGGACACCACCAGTGAACTCTATGGAAAGACCTCTGGGCACCTCCTAAATGAGGCACAGGGCTAGCTCCTCAGGAAGAACCCTTTCTGCCACTCTTTTTAGCCCCACTCAGGCTGAGAAACCCAATGGGCAGCGTTAGTCCTAATTATTTTGTATCTGCCAATCCGAGGCCTCTCTGCCCCAAGGGTGGAAAGCCTCAGAAGCAGGTGTCCTGTGCTGTTGGAGGATCTGTTGCAGGATCAAGGTCTATATATATAAAATCAGCTGTGTTTCTACACACGGGCACCAATCAATCAGAACTCAAAACCTGAAAAAGGTCATTTACATTAGCACAAAAAAGGTGAACCACTTAAGGATAAAGAAACTACAATGAAACAACAAGAAAAATGAAAGAAGGCCAGACACAGTGGCTCACACCTATAATTCCAGCACTTTGGGAGGTCAAGACAGGCAGAACAATTGAGCTCAGGGGTTCAAGACCAGTCTGGCCAATATGGCAAAACCCCATCTCTACAAAAAAAATTTAAAAATTAGCTGGGTGTGGTGGCATGCACCTGTGGTCCCAGCTACTTTCGAAGTTGAGGTGGGAGGATCACCTGAGCCCATATTGGCTCTGTTGCCCAGGCTAGAGTGTAGTGGCACGATCACAGTTCACTGCAACCTCTGCCTCCTGGGTTCAATCAATTATCCTGCCTCAGCCTCCTAAGCAGCTGGGACTACAGGCACGCACCACCATGCCCAGCTAATTTTTGTATTTTTAGTAAAGACGGGGTTTCACCACATTGGCCACACTGGTCTCGAACTCCTGACCGTGTGATCCACCCGCCTCAGCCTCCCAAAGTGCTGGGATTACAGGTGTGAGCCACTGCACCAGGCCACTTAATAAATATTTATTGAATGGACAAGCAGGGATAGTTTAATCCTGAAGGAGAAGGGGCTGATCTCAGGAGCCCACTGCAGCAGCCCCGCAATACAATCAGTGCAAGATTCACAAAGGAGGAGACCAAGCAGAAGACCACTCAGCATGATCACAACTAGCGGCATTTCTTGAAAGTACACTGTAACCACTTTCCACTAATCCATCATTTGGACTGTTTTGCCATCCATCCTGCACTGGCTGGGTTCAGAGAGCTTTTACTGTTTTTATTTCCAACCCATACATTTAAAGCAGTATCAAGTAACCCTTAAGTGCACAATTACCAGATCATAAGAGACTCTTCCACTCCCTTGATAAATCATTATGGTTTGGCTTTGACCTTGCACCTGGGTACTACACACACACAACCCTACCCTACAACCCACTCAAAGGCAAGGACTTCTCAAACTGAGGGAAGATCAGGCTTGGTGAAAAGGTAGCTATGGCAATTTACATGAAACCAAGTCACTGCACTTTGGGCAACAGAAGTCCTTTCTTGCCATTTTATCCTCTCAAGCTCAGGCAAGCGAGGTCCTTTTAATTTGAGGGAAGGACACATGGCCTGACACTGGCCACTACCCAGGGAACTATGGGGATGCTGGGGTTGCGGCACCCATGGCTGGTACAGTGATGGTGTCTCTGTACCAGCCATGGGTACAGAGGTTGTCAGTACAGGGCTGTCAGCGCCTGATCGGGAAGCCTGGGCTCTACCAGGTACCCTCAGGAAGCCCCATCGTCCCTTCCCTCGGCCCAGACCCACTGACCTATCACCATCTGTAGTCATCAAACACTTGTGCTGTCTCTAGAATTTTTCAACTAGTTCTGCACCCAAAGACTTACAGCTTGGCTCCAGTCCAATCCCGGGAACATGACATGACCAACAACATCCAAGGTGAAACCCAACACCATCATTCACCTTCTCCCGCCCCCTCCTAGGTCCTGCACAAACTGAATGTCCCCTTCACAACGTCACCCAGACCCTCTCTGCTAATGGTCCCACCAAACTGTCAATGTGCGGAAGTCCCCAACTCAATCAGAAAAGAAAAAACTGAAGCAAGGCAACAGCACATCATCCTGAGGAAGCCCAGAAGTCAGGCTGTTATACTACATGCTGGCTGGCTGGAGAAGAATTAGCAGGGGCCACAGATTCAGTTTTCCAGTCTGGGGTCAGCATACTACTGCCTGCCACCTGTCCTAGTAAATAAAGTATTTCTGGGAAACAGCCATGTCAGTACTTGAGAACACACTTGTCTATGGCTGTTTCCACCTACAACAACAGAGACAGTAAGGCCCAAATCCCAATACTGAGATCTGAAGGCAGATCAGGAGGAAACTGTGCCTGATGAGCTACTCAGTAAAAAGAGAGAGGTAGCCCTAGCCACAGCAGCAAGCTGCCGCCAAGAAGTCAGGGGAGAGGCACATTGAGGTGTTCAGGTAGGTCCCTGAGCAGTCCCTGCTCTCCCCAAGGCACAGGGCCCCATCAACCCTCTGTGGGGAAGAGTATGGCTTGGCAGACTAGAGATGTGGAGAATCAGCCCCAGGAGAACCAAGAGCCAATCGTGAGGTTGGTCACACAAGCCCATCCCTGGCAACCAGAGCTGGCACTGGAGGCTGGAGTTCCCACCTCTGCTCTCAAATTGAGATTCCCATTAGGGTGACAGCCAGTACCTAGGCCCCTGGTCTGCCCCTGCCTGTCTCCTCCCTCAGCTATGGGAACTACAGCCTCCTCGAGGGAAGAGACAGGCAGGGGCAGACCAGCAGCCTAAGGTATGTACTGGCTGTCTTTCACTTCCACCATCTTCTGCCCATAATGAACCAGCACAGCCCTTCTTAGTTTCCCAGGTCCCCCCAGCGTCACAGCATCTCACCACGTCCTTCAAGGCCCGGCCCACTTCAGCTGCAAGTGAGCTACATGCACATGAAGAAGAATACAAGTTCCATGCTTCCGCTCCAACCACCTGGCCTCTTCTCGATTCCTCAGACCCAGCACGCCTGCCTACTCCCTATGCCAGGCCTTTGCACACACCGTTCCCACCGCCAGGAGAGCCCCTCCTAGCTCCCACACATCCTTTGAGTTCAAACACCTGTTACTCAGGCAAGCTCTCCCCACCAGCCCCTCACCATGGACCACTATGCTGGAACTTTTTGCTGAAACTTGCTACTTGAAATCAAGCATCCCACTTCCCAAAGTCTCCACGCTCCATGGACACAGGACGCTTGTGCATCACCGCATCCAACACCCAAATGGGCACGGAGGAGGAGACTACAAAATGGGGACCTCCGCAAGTTGTCAGGACCCAACCAAGAAGTTTCTACCACTGGCGGGAGGCAAAAAAAAAAA